CGTAACTTAGGTGGGAAATGAGTGTAGGAGGGCGTCGGGATTTTGACCTACCTCCACCACTCTGAAAGACTCGGGCAGAGTTCACCAGGTAGGGCGAGCAGAAGCGTTCATTCCACAATGTCTCCCTCGGCTCAGAACACCAACGAGAGGGAACGATGATGGTGGGTATGTACAAGTGAGAACGATGAAGCGCTTGGAATGTGCTTACAATATATATAATAAAATGGCTAGGGCCAAGGGCACTACCCAGCAGTATACCCGATTTGACTGGAAGAGAGCCAGATTTGTCACAATTCAATTTTAGATTAAAGGGACACTAATGAATAAAAAAAAAAATCTTGCAGTACCACTAGTAAATGACCCTTTCACAATACAAAAAGCACACCTTTTGCCTCGAGAAAGACGCTTGAATAAGCAAGAGGGTGCTAAAAAAAAATGCAGCGTCGTTGCCAGATCGAAGTTCCGTAGCCAATTTGCCGCAACGTCAGATTTTCCACGATGTTTACCAAGGTCGACATGGTTCACAAACAATAAAAATGGAGTACATTGCCTTCTACTAAAGGCTTAATGTACCAAGTTTTAGGAAAAGTTTGGCTGAGCCAATATGACCAAAAAAAAATTTAAATCTGCTTCGTCACACTGACATTTGCGTGCAGGGATATGGGTGAAAGATGCAAGAATGCAACTTTGCAGGTAGACTTCATTTTTTTCTACTAATCAACATGCAGTATTGAAATGAATGAAAGTAACATTCTTACATAATTTATCGCAAACTGATCTTTAGTTGCACTTCAGTGTCTTTATTAAAGGGTGTCTGTAAACAATCAATTAGGCATATGGTGCAAGTCAAAGTTTGGACCCAAGTAAACGAAATGAAGAACCTACCTTGAGGACGGGGCATGTACAGACCAGCCAAAGTCTGCAATTTTGAGCATACCGTTGGCGCCAATGAGGATGTTTTCTGGTTTTATGTCTCGGTGTATGACTTTCTTGCTGTGGCAATATCTTAGGGCATTACAGACTTGATAGATGTACTGTTCAAGAGAAAAAAAATGAAATAGAAAAGTAATACCATCACTGTATGAAGAATAGTGATGCAGAGAGGGCTAGTAACAGAACTATAGATATAAGCAAGAGGAAACTTTAATTCGAGACTAATTCCGTTGTTCCTATCCATATAAAAGATGTGGAATATATAGAATTTCGGACCCGAGTTGAATAAAGCTTACTGTACCCAAGGAACAGTGTTCCAAATTTTCGCTAGTCATTGTAAGCAGCGAGATGCCACCTGGAAAGCTAATGATATTTTAAATTGACCTTTTTCAAAAATCGTGTGGCCCCCCAGCAACAGTTGGCCAGAGAGCTACGAGAGATGAAACGGGACATCCATGCGACCTGTCCGCCTGCCTGGTAGTTTTCGGCGTGATCGCTCGGTTTTTCAGATCTGTAAACCATCGCCCCGAAGTGCTGTGCTCAAGCAGCCAATAGCGAAGCACTGGAACAGGGTGTGAATCAGTGACATACTCCGGTGCACCTACACGTGGTGCAGAACCACGACCTTCTCTACCAGAAGAGCTCATTTGTAGATTACCCTTTAGAACTTGTCATCTGGCTACTTGCCATTGAATTCCACATGAGTTCACCAAGGTCACATGCTCAAAATAACCACGACTTCCAAGCTCTCATAATGGAAGAAATCATTTTAAAAGGCACCTCATTACCACAAAAATGAGCTTTCACATTTACATTTAAAATGAGTTTTTATCAAGATGCAATTTTGGACAACTCCCAGAGTTTGGAAGCGATATTTTCTTATGGCCAGATCAAGATTTTTGCCACATATGTAAGGACTGCAATTATTTGCTTTAAAGCATGGTATCATTTCATATAATTACTATGGACTTAATGTAAGCAATTAGTATGGGCTGAGCATTTAACATGTTTATCACTACAATTTTTCTCGAATGTATTATACACTCTCTTTTATAGTTGTTTGCATCATAAAGTTAATGTGGAACAAAGTGAGCCATTAATGACTCGTAACTATAAATGCTTAGTGACAGGAAAAGCCTGTCCAAAAAGAGCTATATTTTACGTAATGTCATGGTGTAAAACAAAATCTATACAACTTACTATAAAACCGATTACATATTAAAAATCAGTATAAAATGTTAAGCAAACAGCAAAAATTTTTAATTTTTTTTAATCGCATCCCCTAAAAGTGGTGTTCTTAGAAAAAAACACCATCTGTTGATAAAAATATCATTGGCAGTCACTGAAAGATTGGGTTATGTGCAATTGGTTATGTGCACATTGGTAATTTAGGGATTAAAATATGAAAAATGACCTTCATCTGTTCAAATGTTGCATGGATTTAGGGTTCTGTTGTCGGTGCTGATCATTCAAAAACTGCCCGAAAATTATTCAGCATTTTAAATACTTATTCTATTCGAGCAACAAATTGAATAGGAAGCCATTTAATTTGTATTGGAAATTTTTGAATACTCGTGCATTCCTAAAGATTAGGCAAATCCATGTACTAGCCATCATTCCTATAATGTCTGAACGATCGCTGTGCCATAGTTTCCCTCGTAATATTGCACAAAACATTATGCAATCAAAATACTTACGCTTGCGGACTTTTTCTCGTCAAACATCTTCTCCTTTGTCAGTTCTCTGTACAATTCTCCCTTCGGAGCATACTCGAGGATGAGGTATACACGCGCGTCATCATGAAAATACCCAGTATAGCCTCAGTATGTGTGGGTGCCTGTGCATGGAGAAGGGTATCTTTTCAGTCTTCTGCATGACAAGTAAGCAGCAAATCTAACGAAACTAGACAGACAAGAGCAACGTGAAAGACAAACCTGAGGTGCGATTGAATTTCTATCTCCCTCTGCAGCTGGTGTTCAACGTTGTTACTTTGTAGTTGGGTTTTGAACATTACCTGCCAGAATAGAACGGTACACAGCCATCAGAAACGCAATCCTCCACTCCCCTTCTCTAAGCAAAGAAAATCACTACTAGGTATTGTGAATTGCTTCCTTTAGGGACTATTTCACTGTATTAGGCGTGCTTGTTTGACATGTAAAACTATATTTGTTTCAGGCCTGCAGTGTTTGATGGACAAAGTACAAACCTAGGGCAATGAAACCAGTAATTTATTATGGCCACGACCTCTGCTGCACAGGACTCCCCACCAAGAAACAGTATGGTGTGAAAAGTCTAACACAGAAAGACATGGCAAGCAAAACTGATAAATTCCACACCATCAATAAACACCAGCATGCATGCATGCATCGTTATAATACTAAATAGTGGACCAACATAAAGTAGAACAAGGCCTTGATGTCCAGCCACAATGAGAAAGCACAACAAATCTACATGGATGCTGGATTAGCAATACAAAAGTGTGAATTGAGCACAACGTAGTCATGGGCGACCTTAAGGTTCTTTCTTTATAACTCACATGTAGAATTCTCATTTTGCAGCATTAAGTAGTAGGGCAGCTGTATGTACACAGCTAATTAAGACCATCAAACAGCTAATTAAGACCATCAAAGCTAAGTTAAATAAAATATCTTCACAAGACTTTTTTTGCATATAAATGATATAATTTAAGCACTGCTACACAATAACCATTACAATGATCTGTTTGGCACTTAGGAAAAAATTTAAAATCTCTTGTCTGCTAAATTGAGCGATAATATAGGAGTGCCGTGAACAATCAAATTTCGAGTTCTTATTCGCGCGAATTGCGCGTCCCAATCGTTGAACCCTCTCACAAATATCCGCTGTCACGTCTGCAGTTCAGAGATAAGCAGTGCGCGGCCAAGCTGCTGCTTCTTCGCCATAAAGGATACGATTGCGATAACTGCTCTCACCTTGAGCGCAATGACAAACTTGCTCTTTTTCTCTCGTGCTAGGTACACATTTCCGAACTTTCCCTTGCCCAGCGGCCTTCCTATTTCGAAGTCCTGAAGGCGCCACTCCGGGCTCGCCCTGCGGATACAACTGGCATTTAGTGGAACACGTGTCAATTATCGGCACATACCGCAAACATCGTGGCTTAATCACTGAAGTTCCAGTTCGCCGAAGCTGTAGGAACTTGCCTTTTCTTCCTGGAGGCATCGTCGGTCTTTGCTTGTGAGCTTCCGTCGGCAGCAGACGAGTTTTGAGGCTGGAAAGGAAGAGGCCATCATGAGAACCGACCCAACCGACATCATCGACGCCAGTTCACAGCAGTTACGGCGATCAGCAACAATACCTGGCGCGAATGAAAGTAATCACATTGAAGACTCAAGAAATGTGCCTCGTATTGTGTTTTACCTGATTTTCTTTGTCACCCATGTCCGGCCAAGGAACTGCAAAACAAACAAAGCGTCAACGGCTGGTCAGGTTGGCACGTACGCTGCGTAGCGCGTGAAATGTCCGTGCTCCAGGGAAAAGGAACCAAGTCGAATAACATTAATGACGAGGCAACGGAAAAAAAAAAAAACATAGGGGTGTAAAATTCGCGGGTAAAAGGTAACTTGGCCTCCCGGTTTAAAAACTCACCGTAGGCTGTCGAAGGTAGCTCAGTAAATGAACACAAGCTGGTGAACGGCTAAGCGGGGGCTTTGGGACTACGAAATACTAGCGACGATAGCATCGATGGTACAACCAGCGCTAGGTGCCGTAGTCACGGGAGGCACGCACTGGCACTGTGCTGATCACGGTATCACGAGCGTTGAGGCGTTGAACCTGTTTAAATTTTCGCACGGAAGTTTCCATTGGCCGGCTGGTTAGTGCAGCAGCACTCCCCCTGGAATACAAACAAACTGAATACAAACTTTTTTCTTATTGCTCATAAACCCACAAGAATTCTCAGTCTAATTATTTTGTTTCAAAATAACCTTCAATGTATTCTTAAATTATTATGTAGTGTTCTATAACGAAGCAATTAAGCTAGTTACACGAGTCTGGTAGGTATTCTGTGAGTCGGCCACAGACGAGCCAGCAGCAGCCACATATCAAAAATCATGGCGCTATGCGTGAGGTGGCATGTGCGAGATGTTGTCTTACTATTTTGCTTTGTAAGTTCACCCGTTTTCTCGTTTGTGTCGTGTTGGAAACAGAAGTTGCTCTGCGTACGCATCTAATTCGTCAACGTTGACCTTTTAATGCACATTCGTTGAAGAATGTGCCGCAGCGTCAGTGGCTCTCGAGTTGGTGGATGCCGGTTGTCAGCTGAGTGAAGTAAATGCCGGCATTCACTACTGCAGTAGTGATGTCGTAAACTAAATGAATTTAGGTCACCCGAAACGCGTAGTTGCAGCGTTAACGCTATTTACTATAATTTGCGCTCTGTTTGCAGTAAATTTAGTGATATTGGGTTACTTTCGTTATGCCACGTAAGCTTGCCTAAAAAGTTCTTTAAGCCATTGATATTGTGCACGCATGTATATCCTTTTTTATTTAATTAAACATGCTCCTATCGGTTGTGATTCTGGAAAAGAGTTGGCTTTTTCTGACACGCGATTGTAGTTCGTACTGAGAGCAAGTGTGCAACCGCTTCTGTTCAGGTACTAGCCTGCTGTCTTCAAATTGAAACTAAGAAAGTAAGCGGACGAGACCTCATCGAGGACGTCGTGGATATAAAGCAGCACAAGAAACTTCTTCGCACTAAGAAGAATGTTCTTATCCTGTACACTAAAAATGGTAAGCCCGGAGCGGAATGTTACATGTGAACTTGATAGGGTGTACCGTAGGCTGCGACCAGCCTACGAGGAAAAAATCACGAAGTATTACGATGTGTTCGTTTGTTGCAGCTGTGCTGAAAATTATTTTTTTAACTTTAATGCTGTAAGGTATAAGTTTAAGAGCTTCGAGTAATGTTTTTAATGTCACATTGTCGAGGATAACAGGACTGTTCCTTCAAAAAGCTTTATTTCGAAGGGCCAGGTTGGTAATGACTTTAAAAAAAATGGTATTGTGAAGCCCTGTCATGAATAGCTTCGTCTCAGCTTGTTCAGTTACACCTTGTCAAAATATTGTCTCACTAGCTGTAACTTTCTGTATCAGAGTGCAATGTCACATGTTTGATTACAACACCTTTTTTCTTCTTATCATCGTGATCTATTTCATTTATTTTCTTTCCCCATCACTGTATAGCAGGTGCAAACATAGTTCTGGCTTACCCCTATGCATACTTATTTTTTTTTGTCTTCTTGGATGAGAAAACTGTGCTTGCATCAAAAATTAAAACTCATTCTTATATGGGTTTTCTGCTGCTGCCACACCCTTGTGCTGTCTTGTGGCAAGGACATGGAGTGATACTCGCTTAACTGTGTCCATCACATTTCTGTAAGCCAGCACTTCAAAATAATGTGACTCCATCGAATGATCATGAGTGCAGTGGCGCTCTCTACCATAGGAGATATAGCTTACAGTTACTATATTTAAAACATGTACAGCAGCCATGGTTGACCGCTGTGTGGGAGAACACGTACTAAGCTCATGAGTATTACAGGACAGGTAGCATTTATAGCGAGATTGGGAGCTACAACATGCATAGAACACAAACTAGTGAGTTCATCATGAAAGGGAGTAGAGGTGCCAACAAGAGCTCTTGAGAAGAGAGTGGGATGTCTGTTTTGTTTTGTTCTCTTCTCCTTTGTCTAAGTTTGCATGCCTACCTTGTTTTCTAATTGATGAATCCTACTTGCAGGTACAGGAAGAGAGGCTAATGGCTCTGCCAATCGGCAGAAATCGCTTGACTTGTGATTCCCAGTGACTGATGTTCGCGTCAGCTGGTGCAACCTGCCTGTCAACATAGCATATCTCATGATTTGTGCTGTTCTCATCTGCTTGCCTTAGCATCACTCCATAAACCAAGCAGCTGTCTTGTTCCTTGATGTCCGATAGCCTCAGAAGCTTTGTGGCCTACCCAGACCAGTCGCCTTTCGATCATTTGCGACTGGTCTGTTTTTGCCACCTGTGGGAGTCACTTGCGGGATTGAGTCTTAATAGCTGAGTTGTTCATTAAAGCATTGTCTGACAACTAAGCAAGCTTATTTGCTTTGCTTAAGAAAAGTCTGTCATGGCCCTATTATTGTTTATTAATGTGATAGTTACAGCACGTAATGAACACCATGGAAAGATGGGACTGATGGCATTTATGATGGGGTGACCATTGCTTTTGCAGCTAAGGAAGCAACTGAGCCACTACGAATATGCAGCGATGTTGCATTGGAACTCAAAGGCCAAGCTACTTTGGCACATGTTGACTGCTCCGGGTGTGTTTCACATTCTTAATCTCTAGCCTATCTGCCACTTTTTCTATGCTCACTGGATAAGTATTTTTTTTTTTTTACAGGGAGGGAAAGAAGCTTTGTAAAAAGCTAAAGGTAGCACCTGAAGCTGCTGTTTTGAAACACTACAAGTAAGCCAGTAGTCTCCTATTCAGTGTTGTCACAGAGCAGTATTTTTATTTAATTTATTGCTCTGTGCCTTAACGGGTGCTAGGTATTGTTGGCAGTTATGTTGCAGAGTTTTGGCTGTCACATCTCTTTTTTTTATTGAAGTTTATTCAGACAGTCATGGTCTGGGATGAAGGGGCTAAAGGCAGATGCAACTGCCTGACAAAGGCCCCCCTACCCATACATTGCTCAGGGGTGGAAAGCCGCGGTACATGCGCAAATATAGGTAACAAGAAAAGGCGAAAAAACAAAACAAAAAAGAACAGGCGCACAGGCGATCAAAACACAATAGGTAGAATAGTTACCTTCGGTACACACTAATGATGCGTGACATGAAAATGTTTATACAAGCCCTGATGATGATTAGTGTTACAAAACAGTATAGAACAAAATAGGAAAAAATCAAAAGACAGGAAATGCACAATATAAAGAGAAGATTAGGAGCTAAACAAGAGGTAATCTTTAACTTTTTCCCGTAGGCTGTATGTCGAACAGTTGTCTTGGATCATATTGGCGATTTCTCGATTATTATTCAGAAAATGTGGCATTAGATAGGCTAGCGTCTGAGTACCATATTTAGTTCGGAACACAGGTGTTCTGAGTCTATTTCTTATGCCACAGGTGGTGAATATATCAGTAGCTCTGCCTAGGGGGAATTTTTATGGTGATCATGTGCAGATCCTGCAACTTCATTTACTTATCCCAAAGATTGCATGGGAGGGGGCTGGTTGGGGTGAAAGGGGAAAAAGCTGCATTTCAGAGCTTTAATGGCCCCGTCACACAGAAAACAACAAAATAACATTGTTAGGGACAGTGGAAAATTGACAGTACCATAGTACCACACATGTTCAACTTTCTTTTTTTCCTTCATAGCAAAAAAATGTTCACTTTGAGAAGACAGTATTTTTGTGTGGCAGTATCAAACTAGACCTGAATGCTGTGTGCCTTTAGGTATTGACTCTATAACTGTATTATTTAGTTCATAAGTTACATTTCTTGTTGCCGTGGGTGTTTTATTTTCCCCACGCAAATGCGCCAGCATTCAGAAATTTATAAGCATCTTTGCATCGTGCTGTTACCTTTTCTGCAGTTTGATGTGCAATTTCTCAGCAGTAGTTCTTTATCCTGAACTTTGTTTTCTAGAGATGGGGAATTTCACAAGGACTATGACCGGAAGCTGACAGTCACGGTACGTTGAAGACAACCAGTCACTAGTGAAACACAGGAGGCTGCTTAGCAATGACCTAAAGCATTGACTTATAAGAGCTGATGAGCTATCCTTCTAAAGCACAACACCAGCTGATTACTGGTACTTAAGTTTGAATGAAAGAAATTGCATGCAGAAATGAAAAACAAGAAAAAATGAGAAGAATTTATTTGCCATGATGTTTGCATACATTAAATATGTTTTCTTGTGAACATCATGTCAAGCAACCACTGGTTTAAATACAAAGATGTGGACAGGGGAGTAGCTGCTGCTGTAGCTCAATTGGTAGAACACAGTGCATATAGGTAATCGGAAGGTTGCAGGTTCGTTCCCTAGAAAGCCAGTGACAAATTATCTTTGCGACCACTTTACTTTTTTCACATTTATATCATAATCACCAAAAATGGCATCCCCTATACTTCTCTTGGTATTATTGTTGCTTAGTTCTCATTATCATTGTGTCTGACAAAGAAGAAGCAACTTAAGATTTTCTTTTTTTCCTTCAGTCTCCTTATAACAATATTATCCCTAAAATGCTGTGGATGCCACGTGAGCGTACAAAAGAGGCGACACGGTCATACTCCCTGTTGGCTTTTTGTTGGACCACTAACAAGAACTGAAATCAACTTTGGCACTATCTGAGGGACCTTATGTGAAAAACTGTGGAGCTGTTCAGTGGCCTTTGTGGAGCTGCTGTCCATGCTATGTAATGCTTTACAGGCTATGTAATGCTTTACAGGCCTGTCTTAAAGAAGTCTAAAAAAAAAAGAACGGTAGGAGGGGAAGATGAAAGGTTGCAATGAAAAATCCGTAAACAGGGGTTGTGGCAAGCTGATGTTTTAGCAAGAGGACTTGTCTTCCTCAAGGCTAGAACAAAACAGTTTTGTTCTAGCCTTGAGGTAGACAAGTGCGCTTGTCGAAACGTCAGCTCAACACATTGAGGTAATCTTGCCAACCCTGTTTACGAACTTTTCATTTAAAGATGTAAGGTTACTGATGTGATTTTTCTCATTTCAGTCCATGTCTAACTTCCTAAAAGACCCCACGGGAGACATACCTTGGGAAGAAGAAGAAGACAGTGTGGATGTCTATCACATTGCTACGATTGAGGTAATCCTGCCATCCACTTTGAGCACTGCAAGCCTCTTAATTAACAAATGAAAGTAAAAAAATGTTCATTTGCCATTCAATTTTTTGTACATGTGCCAGGTGTAATTCAATGCTGCTCTTTTTTCCAGGAACTGAAAAGGTTATTTCAGAGAGAAACGGCGCCTGTTCTCATCATGTTCTATGCTCCTTGTACGTATAGCATAACTTCATTCTTTTTGTACTGCTCTTGCATTGTTACCGAAATTGCACCAGAGGTAACTATGCAGAGCAAAAAAGTGATTCTCTCCTCTAAAGACCACCGTCGTTATCCTATGTGTAGTGCTGAGCAGTTCAGAAGTTCATCTGCTACAAACAAATCCTCGTACCTTTTCTATTGCCGAATAGTCGTGAGACATAAACTCTGTGACCCACTTGTTGCGTCATGCTTGCAATTCCTACCTCATCATTGAGTACAAACACCATAGGAAGTGTCTTGTGCTCTCTGTAGCGTATGTGAGTCTTATGGTGCACTATGCTTTGTCCTCTGCTTTTCAAGGGTGTTCATTCTGCAAAAGACTCAAACCAGACTATGCAAAGGCTGCTACAGAACTCAAGGGTCACTCGGTGAGCTGCCTGAGGGTCTTTGCTTTTTGTACTGCATTCAGCAGTAGTATGTAGAATGAAGAAGAATTGTAAAATGTAGTCTTGTGTGTACGGTTAATTTTGCGGCCAAAGGGAATAGCAATCTAGTCGAATAATTTCGATTCACATTCGAATGGTATTTTATTACATATTATAAAGAAAAATGAGCATATTTTGTCATGACCCAGCTAACCGGCACACTATTTTTTTTTAATTGAAACAAGGCATGTGCCAATGTTATTCTTTATCGTTAAAAGAAAGTGAAAGCAACTTTGAATATTAGCAGGATTTGACTATCAGTAAAATACAACTGATAACCTGTAAAATATGTTACATTTTAAAATCTACTAAATTTCGAGCATACTATATGCCACTACGACAAGCTTTTCAGCTTAAAGAATGTTGAATATATGTGAGGGTAATGTGTTAAAGGGGCAGTGACATCAGCTTCACTCATGTCGCATTTTCTTCGTCTACACGCGCTTTCTTTGTCAATGTGTAGTTTTCGATTCCCTAGTAATTTGGTACTGATAATTCATCAGAGGGATGAAATAATATATTTTATGCTGATTAGTACGACCAGTATTGAACCCAATTCAAAACGAGTGCAATGCCTGTGCAGGCATTGCACAGGGGACAAACGGTGACGGGAGTTTCAGCTGACATTTTGTCTACTAGGCGCACACGTGTAGGCATGTCTTTGCCACCCTCATCATCCTCACTGCTGTCATCAGCGTCAACAAGGTGCGACGAAAACATTCAGGAATGTGGATTCACTGCTATTAACGGCAGGACAAATTGTTTTTAGTTCAATGTTTTTCAGAGCAGCGATTCTGAAATCGACGCTGGACGGAGCAGCGACAATGAGGCAGGTGGAAACGCGCTTGGACCATGCTGGCTGGGCAGCATTCACATGAATGTGCTGCATGAACCAATCAAAACAAAACAACTAAAGCCATTGCTGCCTGACTGTACCACAAGTAGGCACGGCTATGACAACTCAAAAACTGTCGACGTCATCGTTGCTCTCTTATCATCGCTCAATGCTTGGGGCGTGGCCTAGGAGCTCACTGAACACATCAAAATACTATGTCGCATGGTGCTGAACGGGCCGTTGAGCCTTTGGACACCCCTTTTTACTTGGAATGAAATAACTTCTACGTAATGGACGCCAGTCATACTTTGCTAAAAAAACTCGTGCATATGAAGCAATCGAATGTACACCACATCTTAAGTTTGAAATATCATGTCACTGCTCCTTTAATATTGTTTCGTGGAAAGAATAGCAGATAGTTTGTAGCCACAACACATCTTGCAAACCAATTTCAACCTCTTCACTTTCAGTCTGAGGCGCATTTCAGGGTATGCCCACTATGCCCTGTTTTGTCAGCCAAAACCACGTAACAATATTGACTTGAACTGGGGCTTTGCTGCTTGGCAGTTTTTTTTTTTTATTATTATTGGTGTATTCACGGTTTTGCACCCCTTCAGTGCAGTGAAACCACCTTTACAGGGGGTACAGGTAGACTGATACACTATTTTGAAATTTTCCATATCCAAATTTCCAATGGAGTGATTTTGAATACTGTAATTTTCTTCCGAATATTCGAAGTGCTCGAATGTTCACACAAGCCTAGTAAAATGTCATGTGTCTTTTATTCTGATTAACAGAATAAACTGATTCAAAAAGTTTGTTCATTAAAGCATAATATAAGTTAAGCAACAAGTAATTATGTTGACCTTTTGAGTGTAGAATATTTTCACAAAATGCGATGCCCCAGCATCGTTACTTTCATTAAGGATTGTTCTATAAAGTGTTGCTAACTCTTTGGTTATGAGTACTATCTTGTTGCTTGTCCCTTTTCAGCGGTCTTGCTCAGTATTGTCTTGTTTATAAAATAACTGTGCTTACTGCAATTGCAAGAACCTCTGCTGCGTAGCAAGCGCTCGAATGCCTGCATGCATAATTTTTTCCTTCGTTAACCTTTGTAGGTACTGGCTGCTATGGACTTGAACAGGCCTGAAAACGCGGCTATTCGACGGCACTACAACATTACTGGTTTCCCAACACTCCTATATTTTGTGTAAGATTTTTATTAGCCTAATATATGAGAGTTGGATCTCTAGGCATGTTCATCTTTTTCACTTGCATCATCAGGTCTGGAACCTTAAAACATCGCTACGAAGGGGATAACAACAAGGACGCCATAGTTAAGTTTATGAAAAAGTAAGTTGTGCGTTTGCTTTCTCTTTCTTTTCGACATTAAGCTGTGTGTTTCTAGAAGATTTGTTTGCTGCATTATGGAGTTCACTTTAGGTAAACATAACAATAACTATGACTAGGAGTCACTAGGACATGCCCGTGTTGTGTTTCTTTCTCTTCCGGGGTGTTTTGCGGGCAGTTTATCATTAGTATAGATAACCAAATCGCCCAGTACTCAGTTCTCCTAGATTATATAAGCATAGTGTAAAGAAAATGCCCTGCCTTGCCAGGCTTTGAATGGGCACGGTTGGGCAAGAGAATGCTGATGTTACCTTTCAGCTAACAAGTTTTCAAAGCTCACCTGTTCTCTTCTCGCAGGTGTTAGCATCACTAGTACTAGTACTAAATCTCTCGGGGCCTTTCATCCTAGTTTCTATTACTTTGGACTGCATTTTGTTTTTCTTTTAGCTTATTTGAGATTTCTTTGGGCAAATAGAAATCTCTTCGACTGGACAAAAGAGGAAAGACATAATAATCCGAAACAATTATTTTTGATATTGTGAAACAAGAAACTCATGAGTTATTCTTCAAATGAGTGTTCTACATGCTTAATGTTATGCCTATTGTGTAACAAGGAAATTAACATCATGTTGGTCATTCAAAAACCAGTTTTTGAAGGATGCACACATCAGACAACATGTTTTGCTGAAATCATCCAAGTCGTATTGTTCTAACTGAACCCTATGATTTGGACATACCTCAGTTGGCATGCAGTCTTGTTTAGTATCTGCAATTATTGAGTGGGAGTGAATGACTGGAGTGATGCGGTCATCAGGATCATGTCAGTGCACTGTGAAAAGAAAAGAAAAAAAAACAGCACAATGGACAGACATCAGCGCATGAAAAAACTCCCTGTATTCCCATAGGGCAGCTGCACGTGCCAAGCAAGAGAAATGATTAAAAAAAAAGCATGTGTTTAAGCGTACATGCAATTACATACATGTACATCTTTGGCTGTCCCTATGGTGGTATTGGGACGTTAAACCCCACAAATCAATCAATCTTTGACGTCTTGTGCTTGTTTGGATTGATGTACGTGTTTGTCTGTTAAAGGGATGAGGTCACCTTTCACCTTGCATGATGTGTAGGTTTTCCTTATCGCATGGTTCTTTAGCTTTTCAGTATTTTCTCTTGTTTCTCGGTAATTTTGACGTGTCATCAAGGGCTTGTGTTCTAATGCTTTTATATTTAGCTCAGGTCAGTAGTCCATCCTTATAAACGACATTGTCCTATGTTCTCTCGTGCTCTAGTCCTCAGCAGCAACCCAAGAAGCCAAAGGAGCAAGCTTGGTCAGATGAGCCCAGTGATGTTGTCCATCTCACTGAGGAGACATTCCAGCCAACGCTTCAGAAAAATCCTTCTGTTCTTGTCATGTTCTATGCGCCCTGTGAGTAAACAGCCTGTTTGGTGATCCTCATTAAGTTACATAAGTTTGACTGTTCACCAGAGAACTGTATTATGTAGATTGTTTTAAAGAAACTTGCATCGGAAGCTATATTACACCCAGTGTGCGGCCTCTTCACAAACTGCTTTCTTCAGCCTCATGATTATTTCTTTGCAACACTGGAAACACACACTCAAACTTCGATATTATGAACCCGGATATAACAAAATTTGATTATAACGGAGTAAATGAAAAATCATCTTTCATTAGATACAGTGTTAGTAATAAACTTTTATAACGAATGTTCACAGTGTTAGTAATAAACCTATATAATGAACTTTTGGATGTAACAAACTTAACTTTGTGTAAGATGTATTGTTATAACGAGGTTTGAGTGTATCGATTCTATCTAGATTTTAAAATGTCCTTGATGTTTTGATGTGTCTTCCTCTACAGCACTTTATGTGAAGGCTTTGTGGCTTTAATATATCATATGTAAGTTGAGAATCTTGGAAAGTGTAGCACTGTATATATGGCCAAGTTTGATTGCTGCTGGAAGTTTAATGGGGTAAACATATCACTAGTTTCACTTTCTAGTTGTTGCATTTTTGAGAATTCAATACATTTCATTTGTATTATACTGAACTTCTTCTACATGACAGAATCTCGTAACAACTGAAATTTCGTGACAAGAACTGCCTCAGTGCATATAAACATAATCTACATGATTCCTAGGGTGTGGCCACTGCAAGAAGATGAAACCGGAATATGTCTCAGCAGCAGCAACTCTTAAAAGCGAAGGGGTGAGCATAGCACTTACTTCCCTCAAAGCCATTAGTTATGTCAGTTCTATTTCAAATGAGGTACTTTAAAGTTTTAATGAAGTACTGACACGAATTTTAAAAATTTTCAGATGGTTGTTCTAAGTAAAAGTACTGGCGTATAGAAACATGAAATGAGTGCACGTTAAAGAACCCCAGGTGGTCAAAATTTCCGGAGCCCTCCACTACGGCATCTCTCATAATCATATAGTGGTTTTGGGACGTTAAACCCCACATATCAATCAGAAACCTGAAATGAGTATTGTGGTGCCTGGGAATGCATCGAATATGTTTTTGTTACCGCTATTTTAAAAGAACACTTTCGGTTTCGATACGTGCTGACAACTTCTCAGTAACGTGTCATAACAGTGTGACGTCACAGGAAGATAGCAGCTGGTGACGTACGAATGGCAGATCTGTCATCTACTCGGAGGACACAGAAACAACGATGATTGAATCGTCTTTCAGGGACCCTGACATTGATATCTGCGATTTCAACTGCATGTAGGACGCAGAGCTCACAGACTCGAGGCCTGTCCTGACTCGTCAAGATAATGTCCTTTGCCATGAAGCTAGCTTGCAGATGCTCAGCAACGAAAACGTCAAAATAAAGATAAAGCACATTATACATTATACATGCTGTCCCACTCCGGTGTGTGGAAAGCGTCTACACTGCCTACCAAGGAAACGAAAAATGTCCTTTTTTACGATGTCTTGAAGTTGTGTCAGTACTCCTTTAGTATGCTTTCTTGCTAGTTGTGCTAAAAAGCTTATTGAAAGTAGTTTACATTATACATGTGATTACGATGTATCTCTATATGCAATGCTCTGATATGAAGCATTTATATCATACGCCGAAAGTGCTCTTTATTTGACTGATGACCACCTCAGCTTATTAGGCTAAATATGTTTATGAAAAAGCAAAGTTTGCACTTGCTTGAAACGTTGATAAATTTGGAAACGTTTTTTTAGGAATAACTGTCAGTGTGACCACAGCTGATATCCATGGAAAGCAACTGGCAAAGTTCGAACAATTTTTCGGTGCTTGCCCTACCTTGAACTTTGTCCTTACAACTTAGTCATCAACAATTTCTGCATACAAGGGCTCTTGGTTTCTTATTTTAGGTACACACGTTTTTGGTATTGCATGCTTTTAGTGCCGAGATTTAGAGAGACACTGAAGAGAAATAATGACTTGGTTTAGATTGATAAATTGTGCTCTGATAATTATTATGTCTTTGGTTTCACCGTCGTAGGTTCAGTAACAGAAGAAAAAATCAAGTTTAAATTTTTTTTTCTAAATTTCGCACCAAACTTTTTATGCTATACGTCACGGATTACAAAGTGTATGGTCATAATTTGTTGTCATTGGTCCGTCAGAATTCATTCGAACTTGGTATGCCGCTTCAGTGGACAGTTCATTTTGTTTTTACCGATTAGAAACTATATGGGCCTCAGAAGGTGCCGTAATAATATGTTGCATCACAGTGAATGGTGCAAAAATTTTGCACCCTCATTTTCTTTTTCTTTTTTTGCTTACCGAGCATCTTCTCGCCGCAAGCGTGGTGCTTTTGGTACCGTGAGAAAGCAATTTACTAATATGTAAAGAAAAATCATTTGGCTCTTTATTCTATCTTTAGGCTTTTGCTTGCATTTCGGATTCTCACGCTCAACAGCTTTTCCATGAAATCATTGGTAGGTTTTGTACTTGTTCAGTGCAACTAATGGTGTCTTTTTGGGGCCACTTTGTTCTCTTGCTAGGTGGCTGGCATCCTGGCGGCTGTTGATGCTACAAAAGAAAGATCGCTCGGCTCCCAGTTTAACGTTAGTGGCTACCCAACTGTCAAGTATTTTGAGTAAGAGACGTACACTTGTTGCTTCAAACATTTCTTGTGGCACTTTGTGTAAATACAACTGTCACTGTTGCTATTCAGTTGTTCTGCATAGTTTTGCATGTGAACAGCCAAGGAGTGTAAGGTTCTTGTCTTCAAAGTATCGCTCAATACCTCGCTGTCTCTTTTTAGCCTTTCTGGTTGTGGGTGAAAAGAAGTGTTCCTTTTCCTAGTGTCACATCACCTTAGCATTGTCTATGCACTGCACAGTCATGGAGGTCTCGTCCCCTATCTTGTTAGTGTGAAAGTTTTCCATTACCTTGAACAAGTTGGAATGGTGGTGCATTTTCTTTGCTGTCCGTTTCAATACCAATACATATTTTCTTCTATTTTCATGACTCATTTACTTGTATTTCAAGTGTAAATTTGTAAACGGAGGCTGTTCTGCATCTATGCTCTCTGAAATGAGGCATTTCACAAAGTTCAGGAGTTTCAGTTGGCCTAACAGGCAGCAAAACTAGTGTGTCAGGTCTATTTTTAGGTGAGAAGTTTTGCATTTTTACGAGGATTGAAGTGTTGAGAATGAATCAGCCTGGCAACTACATATTCAGGCTTTAAGATCAAGCCAACTATACATTACAAGAATAGTTTCAAAGTTGATTTATATAAGATTCGGGATGGTATGAAAATGCACCTTCTTTCATTTTTGCCCTCACAAGCTTCATTTTATGTGAACCAGTAACAGCACTCCATTCTATGTCTATGTTTCAGAAATGGTGTATTTGCCTACGATGTGAACCTGAGGGTGGCTTCAAAGATTGTGGAATTCATGAAAGAGTGAGTACTATCTTGGCAGCTAAACTATTTACTACATTTCACAAAATTTCAAACAAGGAAGTGTAACCCACAAATGCATTTAGGGAAAAGAACAAACATCTATAAAACCACGAAATGTTTTAACAACTGTTTGAAACTGGAAGGAAACGCAGGCAACTATTCAAGTGAAACTGAGCATCTCGTGGCATGTGGAGGAATGCTACTGTTTAGCGCAGATCTAAGTGACAGTAGAGAAATGCCCAGCAATGAAGCAAGTTTATTTTTTTATGTAGGTAGTTGTTGGGCACTTTCGATAAACTACAATGGGCTGTCCAGCTGCATGTTAGCTGGCACAGGTGGCAGTTCCTTTTCCAGCCGGCATTCTTGTAGTGATGACGGTTGTTCTTCAAATGCAGTCCCAAGGAGCCTCCTCCACCCCCACCCCCCGAGCAGCCATGGAGCCAGGTGAAGAGTGAGGTCGTTCACCTTGACGAGGAGACATTCAAGCCATTCTTGAAGCGCAAGAAGCATGCCCTGGTTATGTTTTACGCACCATGTATGTTGTACTCCATTATGCTAAATTGGGCAAGTGTGTAGCAAAGTGCAAAACTGAGTGGAATTTCGTTCAGGTCAATTTTTACAAACGGGTGTCTATTACGGCCGTCATATTTTTTTGTCTCTTTGTCTGAGCAAATACTTTCACTTGAACTTAGATGCACTAATATGTATATGAGGTTTGGACATCAAAGGTTGCAGTTAAACGTTACAAAGGGCCAACTGCTTCTTCATGCTTAGTTTTGCCTTGTTACAAAACTCAATTGGGAATCTGGCATAAGACATTTTTTGGATTAGTGTCTACGCACTTTTATTTTTAATATTCCTCGACTTAGCAGGTGAACCTTTATGAATTTTACAGCAGCTCATAAAATGAAAGACATTGGAGAGGTTAGAACAGTGGGTGCCTTATTCAATTCAGGGTGTGATTGTTGGTGGGTCCATATAGTGAATCATCCACTACGGCGAAGCACGTTCAGCTACTTGAAGAAACGAGTCGCGACATCATGGCGCTCTTGACCACTTCAACGCACCGAACCCACCAACACATTCCCACCGTAAAGAGAGATGTGTCGGAACGATGGAGGAACTGCTATCAATCTCCCAGGTGCATCAAGCGGGGGCAGCCACGGTAAACCCAATTCAAAGGCTATTGGGATTAGAGTTCATGAAGAGCCTCTGAAATGTGTTTCCAAAACGGATCGCTGGGGACAGCATTTGTTGTGGTGCAATGCATTCCGTCTTTCTCATTTGTGGCGAGTGTTGGGAAAGCTTCGCGACTTCAAATTGACATTTTGAAAAAGAGACTGGAACGAAAGGCGACAGGCTGTTCACTTAGCTTCAGCCAGTCAGCGAAGACTGAAGTGGATAATTCACCAGGTAGACCCATCGAGATTCACGCCTTAGTGTCTCATTGGGTTGGACACACTGAGACAAGGGTCCAACCTCCTTGGAAACTTCCTGCAGCTGATAAGGGCTGACGATCTTGGCATGATAGTGCATCCCGTGGGAAGGTAGTTGAGTGCAAGGAAAGGCGGGAACAAAAGAAGGCACACTTGATGCAGAGGCACTCGGATGCACAGTCTTTGTGCGTCCAGTGGGATATTTTTTGACCCCATCTTTTTTTATACTCGGCCACTTTCTGTGTGTGCTGAGCTTTTGTTTTTTTGAGTGTGCAACGGCCGGGAACACACAGGCACACTTGCTGGCTGCACATCACATCTAAATTACGCTTTCACTTGTTTCAACATAGTTGACAACAACCCTCCACACAAACCTCAAAGAGGAGTTTGGTCTTTGCCCTCACTATTGCTCCCTCTTTTTATTGTAAATTGTATTGATCACTTATTAAGGAGGCACTGTTCATGAACTTCTAATAACAAAGTTTAATTGTTCATTTTTGATAAGAAAGCTTGTACAACTCCTCCTTGTTCACTGAAACCTATCCCCTGCGAGATGGCAAAACATTGTGCTCCATTTGTTGAGCACATCGTTTTGATAGTTTGTGTAAATATCGTTTTACACTGTTTAACTAGCCGAAGTAAGGGGTGCAAATACTGTTCCCAAAAGTAAGATGGCCTTCTCAACCACAAGTCAGTCGTCACAGTGGTAACTTTACCATGGGTGATGATACCTTTGTATAGATCATTGCACTTCACTTTAATCTCTCATCTTTTTCAATGCAGGGTGTGTTCACTGCAAGAGAGCCAAGCCTGAATTCCAGGCCGCCGCAGAGGAGCTCAAAGATGACCCGAAGGTATGAGTTTACATAATTTATGAAAAAGTCTGGGGAAACTTTCTGCCAGACAGTCATAAAATTTACATTGGCACTGTAACACATTTAAATCACTGACGAAACACTGCTTTATGTTGGGTATTATGCTTTAAGTTGGGCATTATTTATGGCCGTAGACTTGATAAAATGGCTAATCATTTATCGTTTATGTTTGTTTAGTCGCAAATTTGGTAGTCTACTTGTAACAGGTCTGAAGTCTCCTCTGATATAAATTTTAATCGTTCGTTTTTTTTTTTTGTATGTCCGAAGTCTAAGCATCCTGAAAATGAGTTTCTACGGAGACAAAACGGCTATTAGTAATCAACATGTATATCCGGTAAAAATGGCAAAAGGTGAGCTGAGCTCAATAATGGTACTTTGCCATTTCCTGCACTGCCATGAACAAGCACGACTTTGCCTCAGTACTTTGTCATTTTATGCTATGTGGCAGTCCACGTCCTGTTGGGCAGTGCAAGGAGTGAAATTGTTCTCAAAGGAGGATTGAAACTTGTCATAGCAGCATGGCACAAAAAGGGTTGAAACGTTTAGTTAGCAAAGTTTGTTTCATTGACGAGAAAGAATTTTTGTGTATGCATGCTCACGCGTCTTCAGTACAACACCTTCATGTTGATTTTCGATTGCAGGTGGCTCTTGCAGCGGTAGATTGCACAGAGCACAGTGGTGTCTGCAGTGCCTATGATGTTGGTGGCTATCCCACATTCAAGTACTTCAGCTACCTCAAGACAGTATCTGAATACCAGAAGGGAAAGATGGTGGGTCATTTTTGCTTGACCACTTGTGAAATGTTGTCTTTCTTTAATTTTCATTTCTAGTGTCTTGGGTAGTTGTCCCCCTCGCCTTGTTCCCTTTGTTGATGTTTACCAAATTCTGCTTGCAGATAAAACAAAAGGTTAGGGGTCTGGATTATTTTCCAGCCGGCACTTGCAGTGCAGAATTGAGAATTGCAGTCGGATGCACAGTCTTTGTACATCCACTTCTTCTTCTAGGGAACAGCATAGCACCTACAACTCTTAAGATGTGTGTATAGATTGCAAAGCAATTTAGATACATTTCACAATAACTGTGTTTCACACATTTTTGCCTGTAGGTGGACACACCTCAGCTCTTCAAGTCAAGGTACTTTGCAACAAACAAATTAGGGCTGTTTGTGGCTGTGTCAGAAGTTTTAGTGAGGGGTTGGGTGGTGTAATGAGTGGCAAGAAGCTAATACTAGAACAATAGAAATTGAGTAGCCTTGTCTCAAGTCTCTTTTTTTGTGTTTCATTTCTGATCAATCTTTGCATGTGTGAACGTCAATCTCTGTGCAGATATTGTTTTATTCCAGAGCTTTAAAGTTTGGCAGTTCAGTTACATTACTTGGTTCATAAAGAAGGCTGGCTTTTCTATTTCACGCATACTCTATTCTGCGTATGGTTTTACTGGATGTCTGTAATGCCATTTAGTTCAAAGTGTGGTGCAACGAGTTACCATTATCTTTATCTTTCTTTATTTACATGTGCAGACTGCGGATTTTGTGAGCTTCATTCGAGATCAAAGCGGCACATCGGCCACACCCACGCCTGCAGCCAGCATCATCTACAACACCGAAACCAAAGTCTTGGTGGGATGACTTGCCTGGAAGCAAGCACATCCAATTGTTAAAATCTGGAAACTTCCAGTCTTACCTTGACAGTCACGAATCTGCGCTGGTGATGTTTTATGCTCCTTGTAAGTAGCTGTCGATGCTTCTCAAATTGCTGCCGTGCAAATGGGAAACTTGCATTCGCATATTTGAGCCACTCGGGCAGCTTTGAGTAGCAATATGCATTCTACAATTGACTATGAAGAACCATAGACCCCTGCTGGACTACGTTGAATGTAAAAATTTACACAAGTAGAGTTGAAAGAAAAATTTTAAATAAGCCAGCAATAAAAAATGCAGGGTTTTCTAGTGCAGCTCTGGCATTTGGAATTCAAGAGTACTTAATCTCATTAGTCAAACATTTCACAAAGCTTGATTTGTACTCGCTTGTCCCAGGCTGCAGATGAAATTTTGCTTGCAACTGTTTGTATAACATGCTTCACTTGTGCTATGCTGCGTGGAAAGCTTTTGATGAAAAAGAGCACAAAAATATTTGTGAAGGAAGCTCGCGATTTCTTGCTGTCTCTTTGTTGTTACATACCGTGATGTGCACTGAATTGTGACAGCCATCCAGCGTACAGGTTTTTAGCCTTTCATACGTCGATCACTTCTATTAACCTGAAGTTTCATTGACAGTAACTTCCTAAGTTTCTAGGAAGTGCAAGAATATCATATCTGAAAGCCTCCGTTTCAGAAAGGTGCAAAATATGTGGGTTACCTCTGCATTATTCCTTGTCAATGCTTTGAACAGTATTTTCATAATTTCAGGGTGCAAGTTTAGCCAGGAACTGAAGCCTGCATTTGCTGCCGCTGCTTTACGGTTGTATTCTGAACAAGTAAGTACATCAAATCAAGGGGACAATGTTTCTGCTTCTCGCTCTGCCTCTAGTCACTCTCTCTTCATCACATTCTAGAAACCAAGGGCTCTGTTAGCGGTCACACATGTGTAAAGGCAGTCTTTGTTTATGAATGTAAACTTTCGTCTGGTTGGGTAGGTAAACCGGGAAACGATTTTAACTCCAACCAAAAAGTACTTGAAAATGCTTAAACTTGATGTTTCATAACCGACTCGGTTCCTTCCTCAGAGTAGACGGTGGCTACGTTGCAAGCGGCGTCCTCAAGGCACTCGGGGGGGGGGGGGGCAGTTAATGACCACACCTCCCTTTTTGCCGCGAAGCGTAGTCCATGTGCATACACCGGGAGAAGGGTTCCGAGGAAACTATTGACGTTTTGGGCCGTTTGCTTTAAACATGTGCACTTCTTAAAACGCTCGGTTCACTTATTTACTTCAGTCAGTTAAGAGTAGAGGTGTGTATTGTTGTCTTTATTGTGTCACTTAGTTCTGCTAAAAGTTTAATAAACAAACATCAGCTGGCCTATCAACACATTGTTATAATGCCTACCTTCTGTCACTTCGCAAACTGGTAATGCAAGAACCTTCAGTTTTTTTGTTTTTTTTTTAGTATTCTGCCGTATGCCTTTGATACTTTTGTTGATATTATTTCCGCTTCCTTAAGTGACCTTTATCTTCACCCTATCAAGGTACCAGGAAAGCTAGCAGCAGTGGACGCATCGGAAGAAAAGACCCTCGCTTCGAAGTGGAAAGTTAACAGCCTTCCAGCTCTCAAGTTTTTCAGGTAACAAGTCAATTGCCACTATGTTGTGCAACACGCATGTAGTCTGCAACTCGTGAGAAAAAATAATAGTAATAATTTCCAAGGTGTGTAGAGACAATTAATTGTAGTTCCACAGTTCATGTGCTGACTTCAAGAAATAAAGAAGTGATAAGTAGAAAAACATTTGTAATGTTAAACTGTGAAGTTTGGAGCAATCGCACAGTGAATATAAACAAGGTGAACCGGTTGTGCTTTTGCTGGCTTGTAGTATAACATGAATCTTTCAAGACTTGTAATGCAGCCTAACTGCACAGCCCTTAACAAGTACAGTCTTCAAAACTTTAAATTATCAATTTACAGCTGAAATATTTGCTTTTAGTTGGAAAGCATGCTTGTCTAATGGGCTTATTATGCTGTGCGGCCACCTCCTGAGCAGCGAAATTTTGTGACAAGCTGACTTACTTTTAAAAAAGAAGCAACTAACAGCCATGAAAGTGCACATCATGTCCGTACATATCTAGCACATATATTTACTTTTTATTATGCGCTTGCATTGATGAAAATATTCTTTTTTCTTTTCTTGGCAAGGCGAGGAAAGTTTGTTTCTGATTATGACAAAAGAAAGAACACAGTTGAGGACCTGGTTGCATATCTTAAGAGTCCTCCAGTGGCAGCCACGAAAACCGAGCTGTGAAGTGGCATTGTTCTTGACTGTGCCTGCCATGACTTTGGCCAGACCATCAAAAGGTGACACTCTGCATACTGTAACTATTTTCTCTAGTTCTGTTTCTATGGCTTAGTCGGCATTATTATTTTACCACCTTGGTAGTGATAACATTGACCTTTTGTTTAATGTTGTTGACTTGACTCAGCTTTAGCTTGCTGCATGATGGTTTTCTTAGTCTTTGATTTTCATAATGATGAATGTATGCTTCTGCAAATATTCAAATTTTCAAATTCAAATTTGCTTTCTATTCAAATTTAAACAATAGGGAAATGTTGAAGCACTTCAAAATAAACTTGTTTGCTTTGAATTTCATTTCAAACATAAAATTTACTATAATTGTGCAAGTCTAGGCAAATTCCTTTTGCCTTTAACCGTACTGCAAATTTTATGATTACCATAAACTTATGCACCCACCTTCAGAGAAGTGTTTGAGCAGTTTTTGTTATTTGGTACTGATGTGAAGTGGTAGTCCCATAATTTGTACAGTATTGGTATGAATGTCTGAAAATTGCAAACGTTCAAAAAATGTTTCTTATAAAGCTTTTTCTGGACAGAATTGTCAACATTCTTGTCTTTTCTCCTGCACTTTACAGTTGAAAAAGGTAGAAGCTCAATTGAGAAAACTCCTTTCCAAATATATGAACATAATATATAATATCCTCTTCTTTGTCTTTTTTATTCAGCTCACTGCTGCAGCAACATTTTGTGCTGTCATCCATGCCTTGTATCATCCAGGAGGCCATATATGTCACATGCAGAAGGTGTCTTGCAGGTTTGTGCAGAAATGCTAGTGAATTTCCACAGAATTGCAGCTTTAAGCCAAAAATGCCTGTTAACGCCTCTACATACTGTACATTTCTTGTAGGCCTGTTGTGGCAGAATTTTGAGCGCCCTGGGAGTGTATAACTTTTCAGATTTTATTGCCACATTAGTGGTTTGTCTCAGTTTATCCTGGGCATTGGCTATGCAATCACATTGGCTAACTCGTACTGAAGTAACGTATTGTACATTTTGAGCGGTGTTATTGTGTTATAGCATTTGTTGTCGTCATTTTGAAATTTGCCTCGCTTCACCTTCTTTTTTTTTTGCAACATTTGCGTTGTTTGTGATGTGATTGGGAATTTGTCACTCGCATAACATTGCAAATGCAGCGCATGTGCAAAACCTTCTATGCATGCAAAGTGCTCTTCATTTGGGAGGCCTGTGTGCAAGTGCAACTAGCTCCACGTTTGATTCCCTTCGTTTACCTAATTGCTTGTCAGTAGGTATTAATTCATTCACCCTCGTTCAACTGCGTGTGTGTTATCATTTTTACTGAAGGCAAATGACTGAGCCAGTGCAATGTTACGAAGGCGAAAGAACTGACCGAAAGAAGCTGGCATATATTGAGGTGTTACAGTGTATTTAAAGCTAAAATGTAGTACGTAATAGTGATGCAGCAGAGAACATCTTTTTGCTAATGTTAGGGTCTTTAATTTTTATTTTACTTCAGTTAACTCATGCCCACCACAGCAAATATGCTTCATGCACATGTTTTGCTTGGAAATATAAGTGCCCCTGCATGATTACTGGAAGCATTTGCTCATGGTGTGGTAAATTTAATATTTTCAGTGAAGGTGCATGCATCTTTTCCTAGTGTCATGGCTGTCGATACTGTATAGCATTCTCTTCCAATCAAACTTTCAATGTACTCGAGGCAGTGCCACTTCTCAAGAAATATTTTTGCATGGGCTTAGGTAACCAATGATCTCGCATTCTATTAACTGTGCAGAACTGCATAACTAGCTTTTTTGTGCGAAAAAATTGAAAAGCATAGCATGAACCTAGTGCTCGACAATTGTCAGGGTACCTACAAAGAGCTGTTTCACGATGAAGTGCAGATTGAAAGTCTGCGCAGAGCTGAAACTGCATACTTTTACCGAGTGGTTTCAGAAAGGCCAAATTCAGCCAAATCGCCCATCTCAAGTTTTATACTGTGCAGTCTGTCCAATCCAAGTCAATATAATTCTGCTAGGATAGCTCCAGTTCGAAGTGCCAAATTTTGGTTCGCTGTTCCAGTACTACATATGAGAAGCCAGTGGCCAGTAAGTCGTGTTCCTAACCCACTGCATGTAGACAGCTCCATCGCATCGTCATGTATATCTGTGAGGCTGTAGTTATGCATAGTACTACTTCACAGTGACCATTGTAGGGTGCTCCCGCCATACTATATGTCATTGCTGCTCATGTCTCAGTAGTGGTGCTGTGATCCATTGCTATTGAAGCTCACACAGTGTGTCTTAGAGATGATTTTATTCATGCTTGTTCCTGTCTGCATTTCGGACTGCATTCCAGTAAGTTGGTTTCTCTTGTCACTGTTTTTTCTGCTTCTCTTGTGGTGTTGAATGGCTTGGCTTCTTCATGTCTTGCCACTTGTAATGCAGTGCAGTACCAGGTACGCAATGGCACCTGTTTTTGATTGCACATGTTCGTAACAATGTTCTTGCTCTTTCAATAGCGTAATGTGCACATGCAGTTTGTTCAGATGATCAAAATATTTTATTTTCATAAGATGTTGCTCTGTTCTTTTTTTGCAATGTTAGTTTGTGATCTCTCTTTCATATGTTTTCAAAAGTGTTGATTATATGCGTAGCACAATTTCTGGCAAGCCCTTTACGCTTGCTAAAAGTTAGCTCCTCTCCTTTGTCATCTAGCATACACAAGGAATACATGCACCCGAGGAGCCAGGCTCGTGCATTTGTGTTTTGAGGCTTATTTAGTGTTAGTGGTAGGGTTTTGCACCGGCCTGATCAATTTTTTAGACAAAGGGTCGGTAACACCTACAACCGACCTTCATTGGCCGGTTGTTTTCTAATTCATATCCCTAGTATTTTGTTGTTGTTGTTTTTTTCAAGGGGGGGGGGGAGTTCAGCAATAAGGATGATAAATATTTGTTAATGAAAATAAATCTTCAAATATACAAGCACAGAGAACACACATGAGCAGCTAGAGAGAGTAAATAGGCAAGTGAGCTCCCCGTGGTAAAAGAAAGGTGCATGTGTTCGTGTCTGGTGCATCCACTTTCTCCTTTATATCAAGCTCTCCCCCTTCCACAAAGACTGAGATGTTACCCCTTGTTGCGGGGCCTTATCCCACCTGGGACTTTAGGGGCTTTATTTCATCATTCATAGTGCTGTTAGAAATCGTAATTAGGGCTGAGGGGCTCGAGAGACAACGCATAGCATTATTGGCACGCCAGTTGAAGGTTCGGCAGTTTGTCTGACATTAAGGTTGTGTCCACAGATATCAGCACCCAATTTTTCAGTTTGGTTGAAAACCTCGGAGGCAAATATTTTGTTCAGTAAACATAATCCCTTCAACGCTCGTACGACATTGAGTGCATGGTATCTGTGCGCTAGCCAGCAGACTATACTCGGCGACAACTTTTCTTGACATTGGAGTGAAAGTTATGGAGGCGGGGCTTTTGCACATTTGTGTTGCATCGACAGTAGTACGCCAGTTTGCAGCTGATTTCAGTTTTGTTTGTTCACATTGTTAATGCACTTAGAAAATTATAATCATGGAAATGTCGATGTGAGAAATATTTCAATGGTTCAGTTCACATTTTAGTGTCTTACTAAGAATGTATTTTTCTTGTAGAACTAAACAGAGCATTTGGGGCTACACACTGATCTACTACGTCATGGACGTCGTCATTACTTTGAAAAACGGGTGTGCTGGAAAGGTGGAGCTGTCTAAGAAATAAATAGAATGGGAAGGTATTCCTGCAAAGTGCACAATGATTCTATTTTACCTACGATTTCCCGCAACTGTTTGAAACTAATAATAAGTAAAGCTGCATTTATTCCAGCGAGAGTAATGATAAAATTATTAATAAACTTAATTACTATTTTTTTGTCACAGTAGCAGGCGTGTGTTTCGACTCTGTAGCTTCCACAGTGCTGTCAAGAAAAGTTGTTGCTGAGTGTAGTTGTTTCACTCAGTGCTGGCTTTGTATGAACATACGTAGTCATTATGCTGATGTTGAAGGGTACGATAAATGTAATTCCATGTCTCAGATTTAATGTGCAATTTTTTACTTCTAACTTCCTGTACACCCCCACCCCCCAGCTGGCAGGCCTCTCTTTCTTATTTTTGTATTTTTTATTGGAAAGGTGGCAACTTCAGTTAGAGGTTCATTAGTACAAAATCATTAATAAAGTTGCACTAATAATAACTTTCAAATGGTGCTTTCGTGGTTTATATTAAAACATCAAAAACGTTTATTTGAATCCACATTGAAGCACCCCTCACCTGGTCCCATTGCAAATTTTCATTACACATTTACACATTGGGAGTTCTGAAGTGCTGCCCGGGATAAGTATTGCCAGAATATCTTTTTAAAACCTGTGCATTATTAGACGAAAATAAGTAAACTGTCCTATTGGCATGCCATCAGGAGGCTAGCATCCACAAGCATGTGATGTTTTACTTCTGGGCTTCTTCATGAAAGTCTTGACGATTTAGGGGGCTCATTTTGTTGCAGTAATTTGCTTGTTAGCTCGGTGGCATCTGACAACTCTGGAAGGAGGGTCCGCAACTTCTTGCTTTAAATTTATACTTTTTTTTGTTGTTGTTGCTCAGACTCGTCACATTTTGTAGGCGCAATCGCAGCCAACCCATCAACATGACTCGCTTGTTCATTTGCTATGGCCAGACCTGGTGAGGGTGCCTTTACAACACGCTACACGCTTTACAACATTGGTCATGGGGATGCAGTTATGTGTGCAAACTAGCGATGTTGCTCGTGAGCTTACACAAGGTGGCAGACCATGTAGAAGCCTTTAGCTATGGTTGATGCTCCATAATCAACCTGTTTTGGCTGCTGCAAACAGGTCATCAATAATTTTGTTGGTGAATGTTAGTGGTCGTGAAAATGTAGTACATGAAGAGGTAGGTTGGAAAATGGTTAGGCAGCCTTGTTAGTCTTCCAAATCACTAGCGTGGATCTAAATATGCAGTCCTTCATAATTTGAAATATATATATATGTTCTCCTGCAACGCACAAGTATAAGGCTAACCGTGAAATCCTGAGCAAGCACCCCCTTTCCCTCTTCATTCAGGAGATTTGAAATATGTTCCAATGACTGTGCAAGCCCCCCCCTCCCCTCCCGTCTCCCCTCGTCATTTCTTTTCATATGTTCTCTGCCACAGATTACATTAGCAGAGGTTCCCAGGAACTCCATTTCTGAGTGCAGATATGTGCACGATTTGTTAGTACTTTTACTGTGTGTTGCCTCGGGGTTGCATCCTTAGTTGTCAGAAATCATTGTATCATTTGAAAAATGTCTTTACCCCCTTGTCATAACAACTGAAATTTCACACGAGGATTTCCTTCATCTCAATGAAATCATTGCATACATGTGTATTCAATCAACCATTTCATTAGAAGCCCAGGTGTGCATAGTCTCTAGAGGCCGCGATATTAAATGTTGGTCCGCTACCGAGCCAGGACCCCCGCCACAGCTTTACAGATTATCTTTCACAGCAAGGAGGGAGGGGGGAGGGCTTGCTCGGGGTTCTACAGAGAACTAAGGTACTGCGTTACTCAAAGAACTGCCCAGGCAGCCCCACCCTACGAAAGCATCATACTTTTTTTTTTTTATGCACGTATATCTTTGTGGATATTGTTTCCTGAAACTTGCTTTCTTCTAAATGTATTTGGATGTGTGGCAAAACCATTAACCAATGTCTTGTGCCTGTCTATGTCTCACTTGCCATGTTGGAAGGAGAGTGTTGTTGCCTCTGATACTGACATGTGAAACCTGTATCAGTAGACAATGTAACGACAAAGTACGTCTCACGTGCAGTGTACTTGTGATGTTATGGAACCAGTGCCTTCTACTCAATCATTTTAGTCGACACGAGTTGAACACAAATAAGTAGTGGCAGTGTGACATAATTCCTCGGCAGCCCGTGGCTATATTTCTTGGATGCCCTTGTGATTTGCTAAGCCGCAGTGCAGTAAAAACTCGTTAATTTGTACTCGAAGGGGATCATAAGGTTTAATAAGGCGAACTTGTTGGCTGGTTGGTGGGAAACGAGTCGTGAAATGGCTTTGTAAAAAATTAAGACGAGGCATAGGAAGAAACAATGCACAACATGACTATCAGCTGAAGTTTATTCCGCTAAAAAGCATACGTGAACGCACAGGTAGCAGCACCGTGTTACAAACAGAATACAAACAAACCAGACAAAAGCACAGAAAAACCAAAATTGTTTATAAGGGATGGTCATTATCACATAATGCTGCGTGTTAATGGAATAAGTGGGTCAGTCATGACAATGTAACCAAGCAGTATGAAATTTTTTGTCAGATAATAAAATCAGTAGTGTGCTGATGTTATTGTCTTTTAATATTGCAATATTATGCACCTCAGGTACTTTTCTCCTTCATTTGATAACTGTTCTTTGCCAGCATATCAGATTTTTCAAATTCAGGGCGACAGCCACATTACTTACATGTACGCATATATGAGCACTAGCAGCTCTAATTACAATATAGTATGAAGTCATTTTTAGTTATATAGGCATTTTTCCCCCATAAAAATGCATGTGGCTGTTTCAGGTCCAGTGTATCAACTCCAATGAGCTCCAAGTTCAACATAAGAGTTTGAATTCACAAGTTTTTACTGTGGTATAATATGTCTGTTAATTGCTGTGCTCTTGTGGAAACTGACTTATCAAGTTGTTTAGCGTGTAAGCTGCTGATCTTAATTCCTGTGTTTTCCACATTGCTTAGGTAATAGGCTGCATTAAAGAAAAAATTTGAGAGATGAGGAAGGGAGGAGCACTTAAAAAATGCTGCTCATCTGCTGGGAACGAGTGTCTTCAAAGTGTTCAACAAGTGTTTCTAAGTTTTTAATCTTGTGGTTGTACATCATATACTATGAACAAATTTATTTGTAGCTTGTTATGGTTGCTGCGCAAGACTTGTTCAGTGACCAACTTTTGTTACCTTAGGGAATACTTGATTGTCGGTAGGCTTGTACGTATCCACTAATGTAGTCATTCATGTAGTGTCCAAGAATTTGTGGCTAGATATGTTTTTGCGACTTCATTTTTGTAGGGCAGATATGTTTTACTCCTTATTCTGCTGCACAACTTGATGTCCCTTTTTTTTTCGTGTTTCGTTGAATGCTTTTTGGGTGCTTTCTTCGCCTGTCTAAGTCTGCTCTTCCGATTTTTTTTTATCACTTTGGGTCCACTGCGGTTTCTTCAAAATTTTTGTTCATAAAGTTTTTGAGGGTCGCATGAATGCATTTTTAGTGTCAATATGTCAAAATGCTGTTTTTGCACTATTTTGTCACTTCAGTGCTTTAAACAATGAGGTCTATAATAAAGTTTACAAATTCATGACTCCTTCTGTATGTAAATAGCTCTTTCTTGTATGGTTGTGCTAACGTCAAAAGTTCATATAGAGTGAGGGAGTGGGACTTACCGTGCTGACAGCTACATTTGAAAGGCAGTTTGTGCCCTTTAATAGTGTAAATGATATTGTGTTTCCGTGTGCTCATTGGATTTTCATGTGGCAGGTGTCACGGCTACTTTTGAAGGCTTTAAACATTACAGACTTCTCATGTGATGTATGACGCTTATGTTCGGCTGTAAGGTGGCGATATGGGGGTTCGGCAATGCATTCAATGTGGGATAACTCATCGGCCGCCGGCATTTGCATTGTGGTGTCGCACTGCACGGCTTCTTGATAGGCTTGCTTGCACTTTGGTTTAAAAATGATGGCAGTTCAACGTAATCTGAAAAGAGGAAACCAGGCTGGACAATTGCATACAAATCTCGCAAGGCTAGATCTACTGGCAACCTACAATATCCTCACCATGTCATTGTGATCATTTGAGTCTTTTTGTCTAACAGCAATAATCAGCATGTTTGCATATCTTTGAAAAATGTATAGCCACCACTTTCCTATTGAGCATCTTATGTCACAGATTAGATGCACTTTTTTGATGACATGAAAATACTGGGCACACACCGTTGAAGCACCAAAAGGCATGCAAGATAGAGGACAGCTGTGGAGAAAATAGATGGCTCGAAGGCCAGAACTGTGGTGTGGCACTGTACTCTTGGCTTGTTTCGGGAAGTTCTGACTTTCCATGCTTACAACTCTTTGAACAGACATGGGAACTCTCTTGATGGCTCAGTCGGTGCACTCTGGAAGAGCACCTTGACTCTCTTAGGAAGAGTTAAGGACTCTCTTTAATCGGACGACTCTTGCTGGTGACACTCTCATGCGGGGCAAATTACATCTGCACACACCAAAGTGTCAAGCTGCAATAAACTATTTCTAGTTGCTCAATTCACTTATGCTCCACTTTTCAGTGACTACTTTTAGGAATAGTAGTCTTAATATTGAGCATGTCCAATAATATGTCTCATTGTGCCCAATGACTGCAAAAAAAGGAATCGGTGAATTTTTGCATTTTAATAGAATCCATCAAGTAGAGTAAAGTAGGATGCATGAAAAGATTGCCTGTGTATTCAATTAAGCTGTTGAGGTATTCCTTATTTACATACTTCTATGAGTACATCCAACTAAACTGTGTGAGATGTGCGTAGTGTCATATGCTACTGAATAAACTGCAGGAATCGGCATCAATGCTCTATGTTAGATGCGAAGCAGCTCTTTGACTAGCCTGTGTAACGCTGCCCCTCCGTACGAACGCGCCGCAGATGTTGGCGTGGTGCCATGTAGGTCACGCCGGTGCTGCGCGCTGATCTCCCTCTCTCCCTCGCCCGCCGCGCGCTCGCTGCTGCCACCACGTCTGTTCCCCCGCAACATCTGCCGCGACCGACCGCCGCTCGCTACACATTCGACTCGCGCGCAATAAACCTGACGCGCGCCTAACGTACGCGTTGTAACATGTCGGTATGCGTCACCTACGGAACCTGCGCCCGCCATCGCTTCAAACGAATCTTCCAGCGCTCGCCGCAGCACCCGCGTTCCGTTCAACCCGTGACGCCACCCGTGCACAACACTGCTGCTTCGCATCCCATCAGGCTTCACTTCGGGGAGATGGTCCAAGATTTTAACGCGATAACGTTAAAGAGCCCGTGTCGCAGAAAACCCGCCGCCGGCGTCGGCCCCGTTGGTTGTGAGCGAAAAATCGTCTGTGCCTCTGTGACCGAAAAAATAATGTTACCGAGATAGCCGCGGGAGGCCGCTACTTGTCCACGCGTGTGCGCGCGATCACACCGACAAAGCCGCGCACTGGAAGAACAAAAAAGGGCTCAATGTCGTGAGGCGTGGTAGTTTCTTTTCCCTGCCACCCCTCCCTGCTTAGCTTCCAGCGCTTTCGTCGGGACGAGAGAAGAGATAATGAAATTGCAGCGTGCGACAAACCTTTGTAACTCTACTCGCACTGGACAGACTCTTAACATTTTTTGCGGCCTTGAATTCGGGAGGCAATAAGCTCTTCTAGTGAATTCATTCCATGGTTACTTGAAACAAGCGTTTCAGGGCGCCTTTAACTCATTTTGTTCGACAGGTGTCATGACGAAAACGAGCCCATTCGGCGATAATAGCGCGTGCTGGTTCAGTCTACTGTGTGCGTGTTTTTGTGCGTGCGTGTGTATGTAACAAAACATGTGAATAAGTATGCACTTAGCGCTTGAAGGGTGCACTATGGGCGAGATTTCGCTATCGCGTTCAAATCGCAAAGGCGAAGCTTAAAGGTCCCCCAATTTTTATTGTTGATTATTCATTCAAAAATTAAGGTGGCTCCGCACTAGGGGTGCGAAGCCTGGAGGCGGTGTGGAGTCTTTCAGCCTTCCTTGTTTTTCTCTTCGGTTTTCTTGTTTCTTTCTTATTCCGTTTCTTTTTTTTTCCTTTGGTTTGTTATGTTGTCGCTCCTGTTCAACGTGAGCAGCCTTAAATGATGGCATCTTAAAGACGGGACGTGATAATATCTAGGGTTTAATGTCCCAAAACCGTCATAAGATTACGAGACATGCCGTTGTGGAGGGCTCCGGAAATTTCGACCACCTGGGGATTCTTTGACGTGCACCTAAATCTAAGTGCACAGGCCTCGGACATCTTCGCCTCTATCGAAATGCAGCCGCCCCAGCTGGGATTCGGTCCCGCGACCTTCGGGTTAGCAGCCTAAACCACCGCGGCGGGCAACCGGACGTGCTATTATGACGAGAAAACGAAATCGTAGTAATAACAATGGCGTTGTCAGGGAGCGCATTTTTGTTCTTTTTGTCATGGCACACAGAGCGAAAGATTACAATTTGAAGAAGGTGCCTCTTGAGTATGCAAAACGCTACACAATACCTGATTCACACAGATGTGTTGAAGGCTCACAATCGCAAAACAACAAATGCGAACAGCCATGGCAAGGAACAATGTCTTTCGCTGTTATCGTGTAAAAGACAACTTTCAAATAGTAACTTTTGTAGCGTACCTCACTTCGCAAACAAAATTGCAGCGCAAGATTATAAGGGCCTCTTTTAAGTTAACGAAATTTGTCTAGGTTCCTTTGCATGGATGTCACTCACCTCTTTGCCTACGTAGTCTTGTCAAACCAACGCAAATGTAGCACCGGGTGCCTCGTTGACAGGGCGAACGGCGCTGATGAAATTCTCATCACGAGTGGCGAGGCGCTACGCACTTCGTTTCTCCGAGTGTGTTTGTCAACTGGAGTGAAGAAGTGGAAAACTCGATACGGGATTTTGGTAATAAAGAACACAAGCAGACGAACCACCATCTGGGCAGCTCACCCTTACTGTACACATATTACCAGTGTTTCGCTTTAGATAATTTGACACGAAAACAAGTTTTCGCGTAAAGGTAAAGAAAGACGGGAACCTCGCTTCGCAATGGGCACAGGCTATTTACTCTCGAAATAAGCCCGCTGTGGGCCGCGGCATATTCCAACACCCAAGTGCATCCTCCCGGTGGTCAGGGGCGTGCTGTGAGCCTACTGTTCGAACCCTACCACAGAAGACTTGGAGGCGGCCTTGCTGGGTTACACATTACCGTCAAGGGGTCCTGTAACACTTTTTGAGCATGGTCAGAAAACGCTGCCGATCGGTAGTAGAGGATCCTGACAACACGCGAGCCAAATATTATAGCACAGCACGCTGTCTGGAATTCATAATAAATTATCAAAGTCAGTTAAAAATTGATTTCTCTCGACAAATCACGGAATATGCCCAAAAATCATACGTGAATTACCCATCTATCAGCCATTGGTGGATTTGAACATGGCGCGCTCGATCGTTACAGAGATCGCCGCGGGACGGCCGCTACTTGTCCATGCGTGCGCGTGCTATCACACTGACAAAGCGGCGCATCCGAAGAAAAAAAAAAAGAGAAAAAGTGCTCAAGGTCACGAAGCGCGTGTGGTGTTTTTCTGTAGTTCTGCCATCCCTCCCTGCTTGGTATCCAGTGCTTTCGTCGGGACGAAAGAAGGGAGAACGCAATTGCAGCATGCTACAAACCTTTGCAACTCCAGTCGCACTGGACAGATTCTTGAAATCATTGCGGCATTGAATTCGTGAGGCAATACGCTTTTCCACAGAATTCATTCCGTGGTTACTTGAAAAAGTTTTTCAGGGCCCCTTTCAGGTCGAAAAGACCTAGGTGTAGAGGGTAAGAATGGCAGCTTCGACCATTGGGGTCCCACGGAGTGAGTTCAACCAGTGGGTAGGACTCATGGGCGAGTCAGTTTCTCTCGTTTAATAAATGTTTTTCATCACCCGTATCTGTTAACGAGCCACTGCACCACAACGGCACAAAACAACCACGCATTATGTATGTCATATGAGGTGGCGTCTTCTGCATGGAAATTGATCGAAACACACTTCACTTGAGTCAGGTGACTTTTCAAAAATTGTCGACTCTCTTTTTCTGGTTTTGCCTTCCAAAGAGGGTCAAATAGATAACCGAAGAGTGCCGAATTCCCGTGACCCTCTTTTGACTTTTTTTTTTTCCCTTGGAGCGTTGCATGACATTTGTTCACACAAAAGCTTCCATGTAGATAGTGAGCAATTCAAGTACATTTTTTTGGCCACTGTAACTGGTGGCCACTGTAATTATAGTTGCAGCAGGACCTGAACAGTGTACTGCAGTGTTCATTGCATATCTTGTCGTGCTAGCGACGTTAATTAACTAAACTTCAGTGACAGTATATGCCAGTTGCCATAAAAATACTGAATCTTAACTGTGCATTGTTTACTTGTGGTTCAAACGTCACCATGGTGCCAATGGAGTTTTGCAAGGTAAACGGCGCTTGATGCGCACTCAGCGCACGCAGTTACGATAACCTCTCGGGGGGGTTGCAGGAGAGCTACCTTAATTTTGTGCCTTGCACCGTGGTAGGTTAGAGTATCGCGCGCTA